CATGTTGTACCTCGTTCCTTTCCTTCAGGGAACAGTAGTTATATGCATAACATTACGTTATGTTGGTCACTCTGGAACAAGCAGGCCAGTGAGCAGGTGTTTCATCCTCTCCCTACTGAAATTTTGGAGTTAGTTTCAAATAAAATTGTCGGGGTGAGCATTGTCATCTTGATCAAACTGTGGAGATATAGGATTGCTAGTTGCTAGAACACAGGGGGAAAGTGAGAAGAACAGATAATGTAAGCTCAGTCTTGGACAAGATATGAGTCAGTACTCTATTTTATTCTAAATTTAATCAATTGGTTAAAAGTGGCTAAAGAGAATCAGTTTATCTCTTCTATCCAAACTCGCCTTGCATATTGTTTTCTAATGTCGCCTCACATTTCTCAGTCTCTTCCTCGCTGTGCTGCCAAGTCTCTGCCTCCAATGTCATTTCTTTTATTCCTTCTCCAGACACCGCCTGCCACCTCCACGGAGTTACCAAGTGGTCTGGGTTCGACTCATCCTTGGGTAAACACCAGTTTGGCTCCGGCTCACACAGGGGTGAGAACGTATAGATCAAAGTTTTTTTTAAATCACTCTTCTGAGTCATAAGTAGACAGGATGAGAGGAAGCCAAGGGAAGCAGCAGGAGAAAGGAAGATGGAGGAGTGTGCCAGCAAAACCAACCCTAAAAATGGAGACAAATACAACACAGAAAAAAAAAAAAAAACAACACAGAAACTATGTTCAGACAATATGGAAGACCTTCTTGCTGGTGGTGTCTTTGCGGTAGATCCACTCCTCTGAGTGTGTGTGTGCGTCAATATCTGTGGGCTAATAAAGACAGCAATATGGCTGTGACTCACACACATCCCAAAGGAGAGGATGGAGGGAGGAAAAAGAAGAGAAGGGCTTAGAAGGATGGCTCCACTCTGGTGTCTTTTCATTTCTACTTTACTGAAACCAAATGTAAAAATAAATAAAAGTAGTAGACATTAATTATGATAAATTGCACTTTAAGTATCCTAAATGATTTAAAAAAATATAACATTTAAAAAGAGAATGAGAGGAAAATTCAATGAGAAACAGCTCTAATGACCATCATCATCCTCAATTTGATAGTTTGTCTGCAGCAGCCTTGGAGGTGCGAATGCTTCTTCCTTTAATAAATGAGTTGATGTCACAGGTCAGTGAATCAAGAGAAAAAAAACACATTTAAACAGTTAAAGGAACAAAACGAAAAAAAAAAAAAAGCTCTTGTTGACTAGATCTGAATATTCCTTGACTCTCAGAACTGCGTGTTCCATTTGCGTCGGAGCGCCACACAGCCTTTCACAGACCACATTCACTCCCGACACGCGCAGACTCGCCGGCCTTCGTTACCATAGAAACTATAGTTTCAGGATGATTCCAATCATCATGTTGAGCCTCAAAGATCAGACATTCAACACACACACACACACACACACACACACACACACACACACACACACACACACACNCACACACACACACACACACACACACACACACAACTAAAAAAAAGAAAACTCAGCAGGGGTGCGCAGTATTGAAAACACTGTCAACCAGTTAGTGCATCAGATTCACTTCATGCATTGGGAAATGTTGCCAGTGCTTTCATTAATTGACCATGAAATAGTTTCAGTCAGACAGAAAACAGTTGTCTGCACCCGACGGCAGCACCAAAATAAATAATGTCAACATGTGAAAGTTTCAGATATTTCAATACAGATTTTTCACACAAGCAAGAAAGAGCGAACCAACTAAACGAACGCTTTGCTTGGTAAACTGTTGTAAACAATTCTCAGTAGCATCCAAACAGTGAGGAAGTTTGTGTTTGGTTGATTATTTTCTTTGTTGGAACAATCATTCTTGGCAATAAATTTTATACTGTTGGGAAAGTCTGTTTAAYGCCCCTTAAATGGTGCCACTTTTAAAGATATGTATTTGTGGGCTGAGCAGCAGAGCTGAGTTTGCTTTAAGTCACTGTTAAAATCACTATTATGTCCTTGACTTTAAACTTGAAAACCATTTCTACAAGTAAAACAATGTTTTATATCTTATATTGCTGCTCATGTTGGATCTTTATGTGACGTGTGATACTGACAGCTTGGCCAAGTCACCACTATAAAAGAGACCTACTGTAGATCTCAATGCTTTTTTGTAAATCTGATCAAATAAAATGTAATAAAATGAGCGCATACACAAAAAAAAAATTGTCAAATCTTCTCTGCTGATGTCAAACAGCTTATTTTGACTCTTGCTTGCTGTTGTTTATTGGATTGGAAGGAACAAGACAAAGTGGCAATTCAGCAAGTTTTTTTTAAACAGGAGCCTCAGGAAAATGTGAAAGAACCATACACAGCCACAACAGACTGGTCCCGCCTCCTCATGCACCAGCTCAGTCTCACATTGCATTTGCCATAAAGCAGGCAGTATGGTCGCTTGGCAGCCGACCGGTCGACGCGCGGTCACGTGGTTGTTCGGCGTTCGTTTTCGCACATACCTTTCATAGTTCCTGAGACACCCCGAGCCAAGCTCCTGGGAAAACCCCTCCCGCTGCAACATACATCACTGCATAGGATTTCTTCCCTGGGGAGCGCAATGCGGAAAAAAAAGTCCGCGGCTCGTCACTCAACGTTGTTTATCCACAAACTGGTCTCGGATTAAGCTCCAAAGTTTTTATCAGTTAGATTCCACCATGGAAAATGTCTGTTTTATCCCATTTTATGAGTTTTTGGCCATTGACTATCTTTATAAATCGCTGCTTCCTGGTACAAGATTGGCTCTGGAAGCGACAGCTTTTTTCTCTTTTTTTCTCTTTTTTTTGAAGCGAGTGGTTGAAGCAAATGCAGCGTCTGCGCTTTCTGTACAAACACTCCCACGAACTTCTGACCAATCACACCATATAGTTCGTATGTGTTCTTATGTGGAGGGGGGTGAAAAGTTTGACCCGCGGGTTGTGACAAGAAGTGCCGAAATGTCGGCAATGCGAACAGAAGTGACGCAATTTTCGTCATAAAACTGCGACGGTTTGGCACGATTTTGGCAGTTCGGCAGCAGCATGCTGGAGCCTTTAGTCAAACAATAAGGTTCCCTTTCAGTCAATTCACTCGGTACAACATCATGTATGGGAACCACGCCCCTGCGTGTCCT